TCCCCCCCCCCAATCTCCCTCCATCTCACCAGGTTGTTCCTTTGTGATTTAAAAGTACCGTATTTGCATTTTTCTTACAAAAAAAGAAAAAAGAAAAAAGGAAAAAAAAACCAAAAATCTGTGTAGTTAAAACAAGTGACTTTGGAGCAGACCCAAATTAGCAAATGAATAAAAGCGTTTCCTTTTTCTTTTTTTTCCCCACCCTCCTCTCTTCCTTTCCCCCTGTTTATTTATTTATTTAAAGCCAGCGGAGAAGGAGAAGAAGAAAATATATATATAAATATATATATATATTTTAATTTCGTCCTTTTTCCTTGTTTTCGATTTTGGTAAGCCAGCCGGTTGGGCAGGAGTCCTCTGTTCCTCAGGACGGCTTGGGCTTGTTTTGGCTTGTTTTGGGGGAAGTTTCACGAAACAAATTTCTCTTTTGTGTGTGATTTTTGTAAAAAAACAAACAAACAAACATATTTCTATGTTCCTGATCGCTGTGATAGGGAAAGAAAGAAACTTTGGGAAAGTCGAGTTCAGAGAATGTTTTATGTTGGGATCCTGATTTGAAACCCTGGAAGTTTGAAAATCTTGCTTCTAAATTCTGATCACGGTGAAATGCAAAAAAAGATGTATTTGGGTGTAACTTACCTGTCCCATTTTAAGAAAACAGCCAGGTATTCAACCTTGATTCACATTCTAGTAGGATCCATCTCAGGCACTGCCTGCGATTGGGGCGAAAAATAATAATAATACAGTTTTGTATTCAGGCTACATTGCTGTGCTTAATCAACCAGGCCATCTCGGCTAAATATCCACTTTCGATCTAGAGAGAAATTGGCCCAATTTTGGCTCAAGAAAGATTGAGGCTGCTGTGTCTGGCTGAGGGTTGCTATCGCTATGAACGCTTCACAAAAGGGAAGGCAAAGCTATCTTATCAGTGGCTGCTAGTCCAATAAGGTTATATGGAACTGCCAGGAACAGGGACAGTCTACCTTGGAGTACCAGTTGCTGCAGGGAACTGGTTCTCACGGCTTTTTCCCTGCCCGTTGTTAGAAGAAGCAGGAAGCTGGTGCCAAAATGGGACTTTTCAGTTTAAATAAGTCTTCCTTTTTCCTTTGCCTTCCTTAAGTTCAGACCCCTTGCTTGCAAGCAAATTTAAGTCTCGCTTGTCTTCCATCTTCACCCATCTGCAGACCAATCGCTGAGATCTCACTAGGTCTTTTTCGAAATGTCTCATATATTTTAAATACTTGCTTCCCGTTGAGCTTTCAGAACGCAGGACAAGCTGGTCCGCGTTTGCCTTGCTTTGAAGGAAGGTGTGTTTGTGTGAGGTGGCCAATTACCCTTTTGTCACCTGGAAAGAAAAGGGGGCGGATTTTGGGGATGAGAAGGGGGAAGACATTTTACGTGGCTGTGAAGACCCTGGCCAAACTACGCCGTGAATGGCCAGGTTCTCCTACGCTAAAAAACCGGGGCCGGGGAATGCATGGTTTTCGTCCTACTGTCAGGAACCATTTCTTGCCTCTTGTGTTAACCTGGTTTGTCTGGATGTTGCCTGTTACAGGAACCCTTCATAGTGTCGTTTTTTAAAAAAAACCTGGATTTGAGAATTTATGATCCAGCTCAGTCCAAGGCTGTGCTGGATCCAACACCAGGAGGTTAGGCTGTATTTACTGCAGGCACGAAAGAAATGCTCGCTGGGTCTGGGGGCTTCGTAATATCCCCTTCGCTCTCCCGGCTGCCCTGGGGAGCAGAGAAGAGATACCTGTATATATGTGTGTGTGTGTGTGCGCCAAAATCTCTCGAACCAGCACACGTTGGCCCAGGCTGAAGTTTCAGCTTGGAGCCTGCATTCGTATTTTATCTATTATTTTGTCAAATTCAGAGACCTCCCCTCATTTGGCTCAAAGAGCAATTCCAAGAAATAAGCAATAGCAGTCCAATTTTTTTTGTGGGGTGGCGGTGGGGGGCAGGAAGATACCCCGATCCCAGACTTTAAGCTCGGGGTGTAACCATCTCAAAACGCAGCGGTCTTCCTTTACGGAGAGAGAAAATCAAAGCTTCTACGAGAGAGGCTGAAACGATGCATCCAGGTTTGGTCACCACGTTACCCCCCCCAAAAAAGATGCTGAGACTTTGGAAAAAGTGCAGAGAAGAGCAACTAAGCCGTATGAAGAATGGCTGCAGGTTTTGGGTTTGGCTAGTCTAAAGAAAATAAGAATTAGGGGTGGCACGATAGCAGTATTCCAGGATTTGAGGGGCTACCACAGAGAAGAGTTGGGGGTCATATTATTCTCCAAAGCCCCTGAAGGCAGGACAAGAAATAATGACTGGAAACTAATCCAGGAGAGAAGCAACCTGGAATTAAGGAGAAACTTCCTAACTGGGAGGACAAGGAACCAGTGGAACTGCTTGTCACCAGAAGTTGCGGGCGCTTCATCCCTGGAGGTTTTTAAGAGACTGGACTTGTCTGGCATGGGATAGGGTCTCCTGCTCGAGCAGCGGGGTTGGACTAGAAGACCTCCAAGGCCCCTTATTCTCTAATCCCAGATCAACAAATCCCTCGGAGCTTGACCGAGCCACAAAACACAACTTAAGGCCAGAGCAAAAGGAGAAGGAAAAAATACAGGATTGGGGGAGACTTAATTGTGGTTCTCATCAGGAGCTTAGAGGCTCAGATGGATCCACCAAGAACTGAATAAACTGAATCTCTGAAGATTTCTTTCTGGTTTTTTGGTTTTTTTGAATTTGTGATAGATAGGGGTTAACGCGCTTTGCTGCCTAATTTAAAGCCAGCCGTATTTAGTTGTGTAAAAGAACAACAAGTGTCATTCCCCTATGCCCTGTTTTATACCTGTCATGACTGCTGGAGTATCCAGCCTTTTTTTAAAAAAAAAAGAGAGAGAGAAAAAATCTTAAGTTTATCTTAATTTGCTGGGAAAATAAACAGGCAGTGCTTATTCTTTCTGGACAGGTACAGAGATGACAAGAAGCAATTTGAAACCATCGGTCGTGGGTGATTTTTATTTGCTAGAGGGAAAATCTCTTTTTTTTACTGCGTCGCTAACAACTTGAAAGGGCCCAAAAGCACAATCCAAATAAACCCGATTCCTGTCTTTATAAGCGCAGGAACTTTTACACACTTGATCCTCGGACAATCATTGTGTCTCGTGGGTTTTCGCCGCCTTTCCAGAGAGTCCGGTTTCTGCAGGACTTGGGAGGTTTCCGTGTAAAAACAAAAAAATACGTGCTTTTATTCCCAGCGCAGCTCTCAGCTCCCTGGAGGCGCCTCTGAAATGCCACCCCATTCTTACTGGCAGGAAAAGATCTGGCACTTTTGTCCCCAAAAGGAGTCATGTGTGTGTTTTGCTTGGCAGGGAGGCCTGGCGTGCGAAAGGCTGCCATATAGCCCTCGGTCCTTCCTCCGCTTTAAGTCTGTGGGATAGGTCCCTGGGACGTTTCGCTTCATGCTCGGGTCTCCGGCTTTCGATTTGGGTCACAAGGAAAACAAGGATTGACCAAGAAAGGAGAATATTTATAGCTCAGGGTCGAGAGGAGGGGTCCTTGGTTACCCTCTGAGGTCGGTTGGTGGTGGTGGTTGTTGTTTTGGCAGACGTTTCGTAACCTAGCTAGGTAACATCATCAGTGGGAGGAGAAGGAAGGAAGGAAGGAAGGAAGGAAGGAAGGAAGGAAGGAAGGAAGGAAGGAAGGAAGGAGGACCGTGGGATCCTTGGTGCTCTCTGAACTTGGTAGGTTTCTTGCAGACGTTTCATTACCTAGCC